AGATACTCAACAATTGTTGATTTTGAACTCAGACACCCTCAGTTGCTTAAGTGGTACAAAAGTTTTATTTGCGTATTACCGACATACTTACTTGGAAAATAAGTAGTGTCGTCTGTTGTGATGGTAAACACAAAGTTCTCAAATCGATAATCTCTAGAAAAAAATATGCTTTCGGAGGAACCCGGTTCGTTCTGATTGGCACATTTGTCCTGTATGCGTTAACGTATCGCCAGGATACTCACGATGCGGGTTAGAGTCCCGTTTGGCTGACATGAGAGACGGTGTGCGATGCGCCCAAGCAACTGTTTGCATGGGAGGACTCGGTTGTCACTCTCCAATCCCGCCAATGCCAATTTGGTGGACTATACTGCTTTTCGTTATGATTGCACAATTGCATGTGAGCAATGCGAAGAAATGCAGCCGGTCACGTTTGCTGAGGCTCGTTTTCTGCTTCTCCATTCCACCTGTCACGGTTGGGTGAACAAAAGCGTTCAGCACCAATGGTTCGTGCTAGCGGAACGATGAGGCGAACTTCTTTTTGCACGAAGCAACACAAATCGCACATTCGATTTGCGGAAGACCGGATGAAAAGTTTGTTCCAGCAACTTCTTCCGACCAACTCAAAGGTACAGTAGCGCAAGATTCTACGAAGCGGAACCTCGAAAAAGCGACTCTGTTTATCTTCGCTTTGTAACTTCCTGACCAATTTTCGACTGGCATGTAAAGGGCTTACAAATGATCTATAAGATCAATTCACTCAATTTCGTTTAAGGTGATGAAGGGCTGGTAGAAGAAGAATTTTCCCACAATCGTATGAACTGAGCTGACGTTTCTATTCAATTTCACATAGCCTTGTTTTCCCAACAGTTATTCTGATCCAGGCTAGAGTGCACTACAAATTCTACATCTCATACTACTGATTTACTGGTAGTCTCGAAACAATATTTAAATGCGAAAAATATACTTAAATTACCCTGAAAACTAACTATTAAAATCATCCTATATCTAGCTTCATTTAAAAGAATTTTATGTTTATTATATTCGCCTTTAAGTATTGTGTCGAGACTAACAGTAAATCAGTAGTATGAGGTGAATTCACCCAATTTCGTTTAAGGCGATGAAGGACTGGTATAAAAAGAATTTTCCCACAATCGTATGAACTGAGCTGACGTTTCCATTCAATTTCACATAGCCTTGTTTTCCCAACAGTTATTCTGATCCAGGCTAGAGTGCACTACAAATTCTACATCTCATACTACTGATTTACTGGTAGTCTCGAAACAATATTTAAATGCGAAAAATATACTTAAATTACCCTGAAAACTAACTATTAAAATCATCCTATATCTAGCTTCATTTAAAAGAATTTTATGTTTATTATATTCGCCTTTAAGTATTGTGTCGAGACTAACAGTAAATCAGTAGTATGAGGTGAATTCACCCAATTTCGTTTAAGGTGATTAAGGACTGGTAGAAGTAGAATTTTCCCACAATCGTATGAATTGAGCTGACATTTCCATTTAATTTCACACAACCTTGCTTTCCGAAAATTTGTTCTCATCCCAGCTGAAGTGGACTACAGTTTCGACCTCACATGGTTCTTATCAACACCCTCAGCAGG